CATTCAAATCCTTTTTCTTATCTTTTTCCGTCTTTTGTTATCGAGCTGCGACTCGATTAGGTTTAAGGTTTTTATGTTGATAACTCGCTGACGGCCCTGCGGCCAAAGCCTTTGTAAACCCTTGTAACGATCGCAACGCTTTTACGCGAAATCGAAATAAGATCTACTTTTTCATTAAATTCGTTTTATTACGTTTTTCTTATTTTTCCGCATTTATTTGGTTACTTGTCGTTGGCTTTCGCAGAAATCCGGTTCCTCTGGAAAATTAGGGTTTTCCTAAGTTTCCTTATTTGACGGAAATCGACAAGTGTGAATTTCGGTTCCCACAGTAATCATCTTAGGGCCTACTCTTTTCACTTATGTATGTGTTAACACAAGACTTCCTATACATTATGATATAACTTACTTCTATCTCTCTTGTATGCAATTTTCCTAACCTTAACTAAACTGAACTTATCTCTCTGATTCTTCCTGCAGTTCAGTCGCAGTGGCCTCACTGTAATATCCTTTAAGCTACTTGGACTAAACCATTACCAGAGGGAAGCAAATGCATTGAGCAAAACCATTTACAACAAATGGATTATTCAACCATAACACTAGAACTGAATCAAGTAGCTTCTGAAAGAAATATATGACTGGTTTGAAATACACAGAAGCTACAATATTTACTCGCAAAACCTAGAGATTTAACACATTTTTATACATATGCCACAAACATATTGTTCCATCTGTTATCTGCGATTCAAAGGATGAATACCAAATACCAGTACTTTTGATTTCAAATTAACCAGTTTCAAACAGAAGAAAATAGAATAGATTCAATGCAATTATCTGCCCAATAGCTTATGATAGAGTATCGAAATCCAATAAAGTTCAGTAGATTCAACAAAGGAGATGCAAAAGATTATATTTACAGTAGCGGTCGGCCTTCTTCTTGACTCTATCGTCGAGAGCCTCTGCCATCGAATCAAAGTTTGATTTAGGAATGTAACCGAACTTCTTTGCCTCCACGGGGGCAAGCTCATCATAACTCCTCTTCTTCGCGGCGTTGATAGAGTAGAGATCATCTTTAACATCTGGGGCAGAGGAAGTGGCTGCACCAACGGGAGCCATCTTTTCCACACTGGCGCCGTTGAGCTTTTCCGTCTTCTTCTTTGGCTTTTTATTCTTTTTGATCTTGGCTAGATCGCCTCCTTTAAACGCTAACCTTCCAGCCTTCACCCTCTCGTAAGGATCCAACATCGCTTAGATTCAGAGGCAAATGATCTAATTGATCGTATGATCAGAGAGATCTAAAAACCAAAAACAAGAAGAAACCTAGATTGTGGGAACCGAAATCCACACTGTCGATTTTCCGTCAAATATGGAAACTTAGGGTGAAACCCTAATTCTCCCGAGGTCCCGGATCTCTGCGGAAATCACTAAAACAAACGAGTTTAGGGGAATATGGATGAACAACAGAGAATAAAGAGATAAGAAATTGTAAGAAAGCTTTTATTGAATAAGAATCGACAACTGTTACAAGTAGAATTAAAGAACTTAGACGTCAAAACGTTCTAAGGATCTGAATTGCTAGTCTAAACGCTAAGTCCTAAATTCTAAGCTAGCAGCCGTCTCTTCTAGGTCTGATTTCGTTTTTCTGCTTCTGCCCTATGCCTCTGGTTTATATACTCCCCGTCTTGGCAATCCGATCTTTCCGTTTTGCCCAGATTTGACTCAAATCGGGAATTTTCCATTCTTCTCGATCCTTCCTTTTCTTCTGCGGAAATCTTCTATTTCTCTTTAAACCTTCCTTTTATGTTCAAACTTGACTTTATTTTCTGTCTGCGAGTAAACCGTCAAAACGTTATCAAATCTGCGGGTTTGATTCCGTTGAAATCGCGAGATGGGTTTTATCGCGTTTTAGGTCCTTTCGGACCGTTTTGCGATAAAAACCGTTTTCCGACTTTTACGGAATCGTTTCCTGATCTGACGTCGTTTTTTTAATAAATTTCTCGAGTTAATCGCAAAGTTTTACGATTTACTCGACTTTTTATTAAAAAACGCGTCTTTTACGACTTATTCGGCGTTTTTTTATTAAAAGCGCGTTTTTTATGATTTCGACGAGAAATCTCGAATAAATCGTATAGTTTAGGCATTGTTCGGTGTTTCGTTTAACCGTTGCCGTTTTATACGATTTCCTCGAGTTCTTTCCGAGAAAACGAAGTTTTACGGTTTTTATCGTAAAACTCGAACGGTAAGTCGGATCGAGACGAAACGAGAGACATTTCGGCCGTGGTTCAGAAAGCGACCGAGTCGTAAGTTTGAATCGGGAATGCGGGAAATCGAGGCTCCGGGGGTACGGAGAGGTTCCTAGTTCGCCTGCTGGCGAACTAAGCCGGGCTGGCTTAGTTCGCCAGCAGGCGAACTAGTCGAGGCACTCTTAGTTCGCCTGCTGGCGAACTAAGCCAGCTCGGCTTAGTTCGCCAGCAGGCGAACTAGACGGGAGAGTCCTAGTTCGCCTGCTGGCGAACTAAGCCGGGCTGGCTTAGTTCGCCAGCAGGCGAACTAGTCGAGGTGTCCCTAGTTCGCCTGCTGGCNTGCTGGCGAACTAAGCCAGCTCGGCTTAGTTCGCCAGCAGGCGAACTAGTCGGGACGTCCCTAGTTCGCCTGCTGGCGAACTAAGCCAGCTCGGCTTAGTTCGCCAGCAGGCGAACTAGTCGTGACTAGTTCGCGTTTTGCGGCAATTTCGGTTTTTCGCGGTTTTGTAAAACGATTCTTCGAGTTTTATAAAACGATTTTCGAGTTTTATAAAACGATTCTCGAGTTTTATAAAACGATCTTTGAGTTTTATAAAACGATTCTTGAGTTTTATAAAACGCTTCTCGAGTTTTATAAAACGATTCTCGAGTTTTATAAAACGATTTTTGAGTTTTATAAAACGATCTTTGAATTTTATAAAACGATTCTCGAGTTTTATAAAACGATTCTCGAGTTTTATAAAACGATTCTCGAGTTTTATAAAACGATTCTCGAGTTTTATAAAACGATTCTTGAGTTTTATAAAACGATCTTTGAGTTTTATAAAACGATTCTCGAGTTTTATAAAACGATTCTCGAGTTTTATAAAACGATTCTCGAGTTTTATAAAACGATTCTCGAGTTTTATAAAACGATTCTCGAGTTTTATAAAACGATTCTCGAGTTTTATAAAACGGTATTAATCATTTTATAAAATGATTTTGCGGAAAATAATGACTCCATCTTTTACAGAAACTGTCGCAGACGTTGATTTCGAGATTACGGTTTTTGACACCAACATAGATCGAATCAAAGAGAGGAAAAATATTAGAGCTGTATGAAGGATAAACCCTAGCAAGAGAGAGAGACCGTACCAGAATCGGAAGACGAATAGGGAAGAGAATCAATGGGCTGGGTTTTTTGATCCGCCTAAATGTTGTGATCTTTAGTCATTATGATTCATCTACTGACGAAATTCCGACAAAGGTGATCTATTTTCTTAACCGATTGGTTAGGATTGATTTGTTGACCTCAGTTAAGAAAATAGATCACCTTTTTCTGAATCGACTTAGAAACTCTTGGAACCAGTTATCTTCATCATCTGGTATTTGGACTTCTGGAGGTGGAGCTTATCTTCCATTTCCAATCGGTGCATCGAGATCACGCTCATCCTCAGTGATCATATTATGTAAAGTTATACATGTAGTCATTATATCATGTAATATTATTTTTTTACCAAAAACGTACCAGTCCTCTCACAATAGCAAAACGTGATTATAAAACTCTAAATGTACATTATACATATTTCCTACATGCTTCTTGTTGTGCTGCAAATATTTTTTCTTCGGACCTACTGGCTCATGAATAGTTTGCACTATTGTTGACCATTTTGGATATATACCATCAGCCAAGTAATAGTCCATATTATATTACCTGCCTTGAATGGCATAATAAATAGGAGGAACAATACCTTGAGCGAGATTTGAGAAAAGGTGAAAAGACTCCAGCACGTTAATATTATTATTAGTCCCTTGCAATCCAAAATATGCATGCCATATCCAAAGACCGTAATCAGCCACAACTTCAAGAATTATAGTAGGTGATCCACTACTACCCGCATATTGACCAACCCAAGCAGTAGGACAGTTTTCCACTTCCAGTGCATGCAATCTAAGCTACCCAGCATTCCCGGAAAGCCTCGTTTTCACCAATGTAAAGAAGCCTAGAAATGTCATCAGGTGTTGGTGATCGTAGGTATTGCTCTGAGAATATCTCCACAATTTCTCAACAAAATCTTTTCATGCTATCGATTGTCATTGATTCACCAATCTTTATGTATTCACCTATGGCATCTGCAGGAAGACCGCATGCTAGCATCCGAAAAACAGCCAGTATTTTTTGAATAGATGATAATCCAAGTCTGCCCATAGTATCCCTTCGTTGTGTGAAGTAGCTGTAGTGACCTTCAACTTCATGGTTGATGCGGAGAAATAGCGAACGAGACATACAATACCTCCTCCAAAAAAAATATCATTGTATTTTGGAGTTTCTGAGAAGTAATTATTAAACAATCTACCATGGGCACTTTCTCGATCGCGGTGGATGAAAGTATAGCCGAGAACCGAACCACCATGGAACACCTGTTTTTTTTTGTTGATTAAGAAGAAATTGTATAACCAAATTGTTATTAGCAATAACACGTTGCACTGCTTCTTCTTCTTGGTTAAGACTATCAACGATTTCCATATTTTCATCATCTAACGAGGAGGATGATGAATGGTGAAAACTTGGCAAAGCAAAATATAAATTCATTTTTGTGGAGACTTTTGAAACATAAGTAAAATACTATGTGTGTTGAAAGTGTGAGGACTAAAACAAAAATGATGGGATCTATTTATAGAGAAGATATGTGACAATTGTTTTTAAAATTCCTTTTATTTTCTGTAATTAACAAGTTATTTACATTTAGTTGTCTCAAGTTGTACTTCTCTAGAGTTCTAGGAAATTTCACCTTTTTAGCTTTTTTTTTTCTTTTGGAAAAACCAAAGTCTATTTTCCTAACTTATTTTCTTTTCTTATTATTCCTCTTTATCAAAACACATTTGATTTAGCATACAAACAAAACAATAACTATAACCACATTCATCGATACAAAATTTGCTATAAACTCGTGTTACATCATATTGATATTTAACTTAAAATTATTTTAGTTCAATAGCATTGAACCCTTCTAATCATTTTCTGAATATGTAATGTTGACTGGTTAAAGAAAGTAATACAGAAAGTATATCAAAGAGGTACTACAGGAAGTAGATTAGGAAGTGGTTCACGATGTACTACATGAAGTAATTCAAGAAGTACGTCAGAAACAGAGCAGTGCTATTGCTGTTAACAAAAAGCTGGAGTACATAAGTGGACAACATCTAGGGACGACTTGTTTGCTGAGCTGGATAATCATCTTAAATAGTATGTTTAGGATGATGAAAAATTTCTTTTATTCCTATGAGAAGAAAAAAAGAAATATTACTTGGAGATCCTAGGGTTTTAGAGATAGTAGTGGTGCATCTTCCCTCAGAGAAGCAGTATCGTACCTGTGGAGGCTGAAGTTCACAGCGAGTCGCAAAACTATGAGGCTTGTAAAGTTTTTTTTTTTTTTTTTTTGTGGGCGGCTTTTAGTAGACGGCACAATTTTCAGAGAGTATGTTGAAGATGTCTCAGATGATGAGCTTGCTTTTATTATCCATGGTTAAAGACCAGAAGGGCAAGACCGTTATTGTAATGAAGTTTCTCTAGAAAGATGATTTCATAGTGGACAAAAACTTCAACAGGGAAGTTGAGATGGGAAGGATTAAACTTAGGCATCTTGTCAAGACGATGGGTTATTGCAGCAGCAAGTCTGAAGGATTGAATCTGTTGATATATTATATACGCATGTTTGCTATCTCCTAGGCTATCTCGTACAAATGTTTGCCTTCAATTTCTCAACATATGAATGCAAAATTTCTGCTGAACATTCAGGTGAAAGATCTCTGTCACTGAACAGTGTATACTTTTGAAAGACTAAGAGGTTTTGATGCAGTTGTGGATATTATACTTGGTTACAGAATGAGTGTCTCTGGTTATAGAGGTTTGAGGCTTAATGATAGAAGGAAACTGCTCAGAAATAGTGATTCAAGATCTCAGAAGTCATGTTTCTTTTGTAAGAAAGTTGAAACATGTTTCTAGGTGTCATGACCGTGAAC